ATAAATGTCGATATCACCGTAAATCGTCTAAAAAGGCAGACATTAAAACTCAAAAACTTACAGTGATTTTTCTTTTATTTAACAGCAGCATCTGCTGTCTATGTTTTTATCGAGAAAAAGGTATCAATGACGTCTAAATTGTGCAACGCATTTAAGAATAACATAAAGTTTTAGACTAAGACTAAAAATCAAATAGTTACCCGCGCAATTTGACGCAACAATATTTAGTTACCAGCTTTCTTGCTGCTCATTGTCTGACAAATAAAATGGCGTTTGTATAAACATAGCAGATCTTTATGTATGCCACCTGCATAAAAAACCATAATGATAGGCAATAATCTCGCCACAATCTTCATTGCCATTGTTATTACTAGGTTGGCTGTCCCCAGTTGGTGAAAACCGGACGACGGCCATTAGTAGTGTAGAATTTCAAGCCGAGTCCTAGGGCCGTCTTGAAGAAACCAATAAAAGCCTTATTTATCCTTTTTTTACTCATTTCTGAATAAAGATAGTCATTGTTTGTCTTTGAGAAGGGAACTGCAAGTTCAGCACCTTTATCCAGACAATACTTTCCTGCATTAAGCCAGGTGGTTGTGTGATTACTGAAATAGTAACAATTTCCATGTACATACTCCCAACCTATATGAGAATTTTAACTGTTTTCAAAATTTCTCAGTTAAACTAGTTTTTTATTCTAAGACAATATTAGTGCTAAACTCTTATGTGCACTTACCATTCAACCGTCTCCAAGCACTTGCCAACACAAACAGCTGTAGCAGTACTTCCATGTTGCTGTTCATTTTCTCAATGATGTTATTTCTTTAACAATGGAAAGTGTTACTTATTACTTGTGTACTCCATGTATTTTTAGTGAATCCTATTTCTTTGAGAGTATTTTATTGTATCGTGTATTTTTAGTGCTTGTCGAGGTGTATCCTTGTGCATCTTATTCGTTTAGTTTTCCTGTTCGAATGATGTAGCGTCAAGACGAAACATGTGACTATTACGACCCAAGTGATACATAAGGTATAGTATAAGACAAAAAAATTGTCATCAAATCCGGCAGGGACATAGGAGGGCTATTTCCCTCCCCGCCCCTTATTAATTTTGCCGATGTTTTACTTTCTGAAAAGAGCCCCCGCATGCTTACTTTTTAACCAACTTCAGTGCTAAGAAATTCCATATAAAAGTGTCAGATGAATGATGTAAGAAAACTTGGGACGCTAATAATGTGTGAATTACATGATAGTTCATATGCATTGAACAAAAGCAAGGCAAGATAGAATTGAGACCAATAACAGTTGGCGTTTTGGATTGATCGACTTGCCAAGCTAAACCCAGAGCGACTGCAGTGTGTGTGTGTGATTGGCGACGAATTCAAGTTCGTCATAGTATATAGTTGCAGCTCTTGATAGTAACGCTGTGACAGCATGTACTCTTAGAAGAGTGGCAAGAACACAATGAAAAATGCAGTAGAAATGCTGAGCTTTCAATTCGGAGTTGCAAGAACTTATGTCGCCGAAATAGGCTCGGTCATCCTACTCTTAGGCAAATTTTTTCAATTCACAATTTTATTGTATAAAGGCAGTTTCATGTTTAGGTTTTAATCATACTTGTGAGTTGTCTACTCATGTATACAGTTTTGTGTGTGTTTCACTTCCTGTATCCTACAATGCATTGCGTTCCGCTTTGTTTTTTTTTTTCTTAGTTGATTCTCTCTCTTGCCAAGAGATATATATTGTGTTAAATAAATAAGCATCCTAATCCACATCAATCTTAAATAAACAACAGGTTATGGGCCCAGACACCCATTCCAACTAAGAAAATAAACATCAGTGATCATGGATGATAAAAGCTGGAGTGTGGATAAGCTCACTACAGACAATTACTCAACTTGGAAATTCAAACTCAAACACCTTCTCATAGCAAAGGACTTGTTTGGATATGTAGATGGATCCATTACTCTGAGCAGTGAGGCCAGTGAAGCAGACAAGACCGCTTATAAAAAGAATCATAGCAAAGCTTTCTCCCACATAGTCTTATCAGTAAGCGACAATCTCATCTATTTGATCACTGAATGTGCTAAAGCCCAAGCAGCATGGGATAGGTTGAGTGCTCATTTTGAGCGTGATACTCTTGCCAACAAACTGTTTCTCAAGAAACAATACTTTAGAACTGTTATGAAGGAAGGTACGTCTATGCAGGAACATCTCCGACATATGAAAGCCATAACAGACAAACTCGCAGCGATCAAAGCTAATATAAGCGAAGAGGATCAGGTCGTCACTCTGCTCGGTAGCCTCCCCGATAGCTACTCAACTGTCGTAACCGCTCTAGAGGCACGAGGTGACGATATATCGCTGGAGTTTGTGACTCAGACATTACTTAATGAGGAACAGAAGAGAGAACAAAGATCTCTGGCTTCGGCTGGCGTATCTGGTAGTGGCAGATCTCAAGCCAATTCTGACACTGCCCTGCTGTCGGCCAATAGCAGAGCTGATCAGCAAAATAGAGGATGCTATATATGTGGTTCTTTGGACCACTATCAGAATGTCTGTCCCAGAAAGAGCAGTAGTGGTAGGGGAAGTCGCGGATCTCGTGGTGGTAGAGGACGTAGAGGGCGTGACCGTGGCTATCAAAATAACTCTGACAGACCTCATCATGCTAAGATGTCACAACAGGATGATGGTGATAGCGGTGAGACGGCGTTTGCGGTGTCCGAGGGTAACGCCGAACCTCAACTCTGGCTAATCGACAGTGGAGCTACTAGTCATATGGCCAAAGAACGAGATGCTTTCTGTGACTACACGCCTACTGCACCAGAATCACCCGAGTATGTTATGATAGCCGATGGTTCCAAGATACAAGTGAGGGGGAAAGGTAGTGTGAAACTTCAGGTCTGGGAGAGTCGAAATAAATCCAGATATGCTACTCTGTACAATGTGTTACATATCCCCGAACTAAGTGGAAATCTGTTCTCAGTAAAAGCCGCCACTCAGAATGGCTACGTAATCCAATTCGGACATTCTCGATGCTGGGTCAAAAATCGTAGAAAGATGGTGTGTGCATCTGGCACCATGAGAGATAAACTTTACTACCTCGATGTTAGAACCGATGATCATTCTGCTAGGTGTGCGTCTAATACAGTTCTGTGGCACCAACGTCTCGCACATGCTAATATCAACAGTATCAAAAACATGACTCAGTGGTGTAACAATGGCTGTAATCTATCAGGTAACATTGGTGTGTGTGAAGCCTGTGTAAAGGCAAGATGACTCGTCAACCATTTCATACTGATAACATGATCAAATCAACCAGGGTGCTCGAGTTAGTCCATTCAGACGTGTGTGGCCCTATGCAAACAGAATCTATAGGTGGTAGTAAATACATAGTGTCATTCATTGATGATTTCTCTCGATATGCTCATGTTTATTTTTTGCATGATAAATCCAGTGTGTTTCAGGTCTTCAAAGAGTATGAGTCTATGGTTACTAATGCTACCGGTCAGACTATAGGTACGTTGAGAACTGACGGCGGAGGCGAGTATGTATCTCACGAGTTTGAGAGTTACCTGACTTCACGAGGTATTCAGCATCAGCTGACTGCACGATACTCCCCGCAGCAGAACGGCTGTGCCGAACGTTATAATCGTACTATCTGTGAGGCAGCACGTTCACTCATCGCTCAATCCGGTCTTCCCAAAACGTTTTGGGCTGAAGCAGTAGCCACCTCTGTGTATCTGAGAAATCGTCTTCCCACGCGAGCTCAGAGAGGTCATAACTCCTTATGAGAAATGGAACAATAAAGGCCTGACCTCGGACACGTAAGAATCTTCGGATGTCTAGCGTTCGCTCACGTTCCAGATCAGCTGCGACGAAAGCTGGATGAGAAAGCAGACAAGATGATATTCGTGGGATATAGCCTCAGATCCAAAGCGTATCGACTCTACAATCCGCTGACTAAGAAGATAGAGGTGCGCCGTGATGTAGTATTCGACGAAACTAAGCTAGGTATGCCCAAGTCTACTGTCAAACCTGAGGAAGCTCGCTCTGAGACTTTAGAAGTAGACCTACATGTAAACAACACTGATGAGTCGTCCCCACCTACCTCCGCACGTCCATCTCGTTCTACTCAACCCATCATCCGCTTCGGTATTGATGATCACACTGGTATGGGTCACGTTGCCTGCTCAGCCACTGATATCATAGAGCCACTGTCTTTCTCAGAGGCGCAGGAGAGTGTGAATCGTGACAAATGGATGACTGCTGCTGAAAGTGAGTATAAATCACTTATCGAGAACAAAACTTGGGAGTTAGTGTCGCTACCGTCTGATCGTACTGCAATAGGTTCGAAGTGGGTGTTTAAAGCAAAATACTCACCCGATGGTACTGTAGATAAGTTCAAAGCTCGGCTAGTCGCCAAAGGATACGCACAACAAGCTGGTATAGATTACGACGACACATACTCACCAGTAGTTCACCGCTCTTCATTACGTGTGCTACTGGCTGATGCTGTGGAACGTGAAATGCTCATACACCAGATGGATGTGCAAACAGCCTTCCTAAATGGCACACTCCCTGATGACGAACAGATTTATATGACACAACCAGAGGGGTTTGTAGTTCCAGGTAAGGAACACTTAGTCTGCAAGCTAAATTGTTCGCTATACGGACTAAAGCAATCGCCGAAATGTTGGAACACTGTGCTAGATGAGTTCCTAAAATCTTTAGGGTTTACTCGATCTACTGCAGATAGCTGTGTTTACGTGCGATGGAAGGATAACTCTAAGATGATGATCGCAGTGTACGTGGACGACATTTGTATTATGTCTGATACAGACACACAGATGACTGAGGTAAAGTCTGCTCTCTCAGCTCGCTTCAAAATGACAGATCTCGGGAGCTACACCACTGCATAGGTATAGTCGTAAGAGAGAAGACAACTCCTCCTTACACCTCAGCCAGACACCGTATATCCGACAACTACTGAAAAGATTCGACATGGAAAACTGTAATCCTGTATCCACCCCTGCAGCATGTGATGTCAAGTTAGAAGAGAATGATGGTAGCAAGCCAGTCGACGCTAAGCTCTATCAGTCTATCATAGGAAGTCTCCTATACGCTGCAGTGTCTACTCGTCCTGATATAGCGGAGACAGTGGGAGTTTTATCAAAGTTCAACTCCTACCCATCTCAGACTCACCTGACGGCCGCCAGGAGGGTTCTTCGCTACCTCAAAGGTACCCAGGATTTAGGTCTCGTATATCGAAAACAAGGAAAATCCCTATATGGATATACAGATGCTGATTACGCCAGTAGTGCCGACCGTCACTCGAAGTCTGGAGCAGTGTTCATACACCCTGGTGGACCGGTGAGCTGGTGTAGTAAGCGTCAGTCTATCATAGCCCTATCAACTGCCGAGTCCGAATATATAGCTCTCTTCGATGGTGTGGTGGAGTGTATGGTTACGTCAGTTACTGTCAGATATTGGAGCCCCACCATCGACAGCCACCACCATTCATGTTGACAATCAATCTGCTCTCGCGATAGCAAACAACGGTAAAACAAGCAAGCGTACAAAGCATGTAGATATTAAGTATCATTACACACGTGAAGCCTATCGAGAAAGGTGACATCGCTACTCAATATTGCCAATCCGAAGAAAATATAGCAGACATTCTCACGAAATCTCTGCCCCGAGAGCGATTCGTTTCACTTAGAGACATGTTAGGGTTAGCTTAGTCTGACCGGCATAGGACTAGATTTTGGAATGTGTTATTCCTGTTTCATGTTTTGTTCACTTGGTTGTATTTTGTTTTGGTTAAACATCAAACTGAGTGGGAGTATTGTATAAAGGCAGTTTCATGTTTAGGTTTTAATCATACTTATGAGTTGTCTACTCATGTATACAGTTTTGTGTGTGTTTCACTTCCTGTATCCTACAATGCATTGCGTTCCGCTTTGTTTTTTTTCTTAGTTGATTCTCTCTCTTGCCAAGAGATATATATTGTGTTAAATAAATAAGCATCCTAATCCACATCAATCTTAAATAAACAACAAATTTTTTGACCAGACTGAAATGTTAAAGATCTGTGAGAATAGTTTGTACACATCACAATCTCGTTCTGTAAAAACACTTCGGTCCGATATTTCTCCGAAAGGAAAAAAAACCTCGCGCTTGGTCAACAGGTAATAATGGTTGATTATCACTGATATTTTATGATAAAAATAGCTACTCAATGTTTGAAATACTCTCACTAAGCTGAGTAAAGTACTAGTTTTAAGGACGTAAACATTCACAGATTTGGCGTTAAACGAATTTAAACTTCTGTTTTGAATTTGAAGACCATCTCACGAGCACTTAGCGTATGTGGCAAAAGAAACTGGTAATCTAATTTTCTTAACAGATCTTTTCTGATGGCCTCGAGGAAATCTTAACTCATTTCCTAAACCTTTTTTTTGAGACATTGTCCATCACAACATTTGTGTTTTGCGTTACGTAAGTCATTATATATGAAATGGTTATGAAGTACTCACGTCTTACGTTTGAGTAGCAGGACAACGTTTACAAGATTTGGTTGACAGTACGCAAAGCAAAAACGTCTTTTCAACAAAGTATCTTATCCAAGCAAAGTCTTGCAACTACTCGGTTCGACGAATTGACGGATTTGACATACGTATGCAAAAATTTCTTTTAGAGCGCATATCGTAATTGGGTGACATGAAACAGCATTTAATATTAATAACAATTTATGAAGTATTATAAAGTTTTGAAGAATGTAAACATGTCAGTGTTGGGTAATGCTTCACGTAATAAAGAAACCAAAAAACACAAAAACATTCAGATGACGTTTGTTTGTTTCTTTCTATAACCATGTACACTTTGACGAATTTAATATTGAAATTTTTTTGCAAATATGTTGGAGTTTTGAAAACAAGCATTACACACAATTTTTATGGTGCATGAAATAAAAGAGTTAATGAAACGTGCGTTGTAATTGTTGATGGTGGAATTTTAATAAAGTAAATGCTTTAAGGCCGGGACTATCGTTACATATTTATAGATGTAGATCATCCAGGTTAGTAGAATCCTGAGAAGGACTGTTGATGTTGTCTACAAACATGTAACACCAAATTATCTCATAAAATCAATTCTTTTTCTTGTGACTTTTTGACCCTAGCTAATTTTCATTTCCTTCTTCAGTCTTCTCTTGCATCTGGTATTCATTTTGCGCAATTTAATGTTGCTTAATTACTAAAAATTTACTATTGACCATAAGGTGTTCGTTCTTACAAATCAATCTCTTCCAATAACTCTTAGGCAATAATAAAGTCTTCCAAACCTATAACGTTTTCTGAGGAAATCCGGCAATTCCAACTTTAAGATCTGGAAAAATGGTCTTCAATACAAGATAACTTAAGTCATATATATGTCATTAAGTTATACGAAAAGATGTTATTGTTATAAGCCTCGTTCATAAGCCCTTCCTTGTATAATCTAAACAGAAAAAAACCGCATTTTAAGCATTTCTAGAAATTGTGTCAGTCAGCATGAGCATTTTTAACTTACAGGCATGTCAAATGTCATTTCGTGAACAATTTCCATGTACTGCACGTTATAAGTTGTCACTTGGGTAGGGATAACGTTCCAGCATCCCAGCATTCAGTGCGTGCATTAACAGCGTCTCCCAGCAATTTTGAAAACTCTCGAAAACTGGAAATTTTCGTTGATTTTTGGCGAATGTCACATTTCTAATGCTCGAAATGTTTCTCACACGAAAATGTCAATTTTTTTAAATCAAAATTATGCCATCCGAGCATAGAGGGACATTTCTCTAAGCTGGCTACAAACGTCCAAGAATCCTTTGTAAATCTTAGGAAAATCATATGACAGTAGAAAGCTTCCCCCTCCAAAACCTAGCAGTGGCTTTCCCGGTCAAAAGTCAGACTCGCGGAAGAAAAATAGCCGCGTCCCAAGAACTCATTAACAGGAAGTTTCAGAAAATGTTATAACTAAAATTGTAAATGAATTCATCAGTCATCAGCATGTCAGAAAACAAACATCAAATCCACCCCCCAATTCGTCACATTCGAAAGCCTTGGCCATGGTTGCTTAGATTAAATGATGAGAAAAGAAGGCCAGAAGTAACTGAAAGCCTTGCAAAGGTTGTTGAAAAACTTCATCGCACGTAGCTCACTGAAGAAAAATGAAAAGAGAAACAAGGTTTAAAAAATGTGAGGCCATGGAACCCACCAGAGTAAACTCGGAAAATTGGCAACAGCTGCAACCCAAAAGGTGCAGAGTTCTTTACTAAATGGACTAATCAGTTGAGCAAAACTCTCCTCCAGCTTGCAGAAAGCTTCTCTGAGGTGAAAGCAGAGAATTACTGTAAAACAAGCTCTTGATAATTTATCCTTATTTGCACAAGCGAATAGAGAGTTAAAACAAAGACAACGAAAATCAACGGACTAAACCTAAACTCAACAACAAAAATCTCACGTGTTTGACTTGTAGTGCAAAAAAATAAAATTCAAAATTTAAAAGAGACGAACCTGTATGCTGATTTTTGATGTGATTCTTGTGAATTCAACCACTTATGATGCAGTAAAAAGGTGATCACATCCCTCTACTCTCAAAAGTCCACCCTTGACACTTACCATTATTTGGCCAGTATGCTTTAGAAATTGAATGCTGGGTGCTTGCTATGCAATCTCGTGTGATCTCATTGTTCTTTCATTTCAAGTAATAGAATTTATATCAAACATCCGCATAAAACTATGCATTTTTTCATGTTTGAATTATAAATGATATAACTGTTTGGAACATAGGCTAACTCTTAATTAATTGACGAACGTCACTTTTGGTGAAATAACACGCGATTTGACTGGCATAAAAATATTTTTGGTGGTCTGTTAATTTTTTATAATGAACGGGCGTAATTAAACGTAATTTCACAAAAACATAAATTAATTTCCTGAAGCAAACAGAAAAAGATTTGTACAACGCAAAATTATAAAAAAACTGTGTTCGTGTGTGCGACTCGGAGAAGGAACACTGGTCAAGTGAGTTAAAAAGTTTTATTTCTTAATGTTGTTCCATACAGATAACAAAATTTCAAATGATATATTTTCCAAAGACGAGAACCAAAGGAGAGGTAGAATTAGAATTTGAGGTACTAAAGACTTAAATGTTTCTTAAACAATAATGTCATTCTTCCTTTGGGTTGCGAAGTAATGTTAATATAATGATTAAAATCTATCAATGTCATATATTAGTAACGATCGGTTAAATCGGTCCGTCTGCTTGTGAATGAACACCCACAGAGTTTATGCAAGCTTTTGATCCTTATCTATCAAAGAAACTGTAACAATTTACAGCCCATAGATGAAAAATAAAATTAAGATATGAGTTAAAAAACGACAATTACCATTCCTATGACAAGGCAAGGAATCGTCTATATAATGAAGGAATAAAACCAAAGAGAGAATTAAAACAGCAAAATCGTATTATTATACTCATGAAATTGCAGCATTACGTCAGAACAAAACAAGTAAACATAAATCATTAAGTTGGCTCCTTAGTTTACGGCATTTAAGCCTTCGCGGGTGGTATCTGTCCCACATCACTATACTTGTTTCAAAGAATCACACTTTTTTTGCCTTATTCTTTTTACATATTTCTGACACACTTTTGCAAAATTTCTAGATCAATTTTATTGTGAATGTTTTATCTCCACACCAAGGTGAAGAATTTTTTGACTTTCTAAGAATATTAAACCAGCTAGGCCAAGCCGAAACCTAGACAACAGACATGTAAGTACAGCTATGTGCACATTGCACAAGGGAGTAAGAAAACCATTTAGTTTTCCTAACTAGATGGCTCTCCGATGAAATTTCTGTTCAAATTACATATATTTTTGAGGTTGATATAAAAAATCTTTATGTTCTTGTTGAGGCCTAGCTTAATGTAAATACGACATAATATTTGAAAATGTGATAACTTTAGACAAATCTAATTGCAATTTACTCCTAAACCGTATACAAGTGTGTATAAAGTAATTATAAAAAGAACACGTGCATGACTAAAAGTTGAACCATATATGTGTGCATGTGCATGTGCGTATATAAACTACAGTTCATACATTTCCTACTAGTATTATGATCCTCAACATTTTCCAAGCTATATATTAGGTTTGACGTGGTGGTAACTGTGACGCTTGCACCATTGTTTGGTCCTGGAAAAAACTTCACAGTTAGCATTATCAAAGATGGTTGAGTGGTTCATTATTAAGACGTACACCACCTATCCTTGTAGGTGGTGCATCTTGAAAATCAAAAACTGAAGAAGTTGAAGGTGGAGGTTGAAGAGGATATGGAATGGTAACAAGGTGTATATCCATGTAATTGCCATGGGACTAAAAAAACAAGGATGCTATAAATAAATGAATATGCGCACTTTATAGATTTTTCAATGAGCATACTTTATTGTCCTTGCCATCTTGAAGATGGAGTGATTTGAGCAGTTGA